TGCGGCTCAGTGATCTGTGTTTTAACAAGCCTTACAGAAGATTCTGGTGCATGGTAAAGTTTGAGAACCACTACCCCAGACAAACCTGACATGAGCAACATATTAGGAGACGATATTGGGAACATCAACATCCAACAAGGCATTAATACCTAAAATTTACAAGCTACTTCTGCAAATTGACAAGAAAAAGACAGGAAACCCAATAGATGATGGGCCCAAGACATGAATGGACAGTTCACTGAAGGGGAAGCCCAAATGCCTGACAAGTGTAGAAGATTCTGAATCTCATATTATCAGAGAAATTCAAGCAATGAGATGCCACCTTACATCCAAACTATAGGCAAAAATTACAGTCGGATAATGTAAAAGCAAATGAAAATGTGGGGAGACAAGCATCTTTCACATGCCACAAATAGAATTTAGTGACATTTAAAACACATATGTGATTTACTAATTCCACTTGGGTATAGGGTCCAAAGAAATTTTCACATAGGCCCATAGGGTCATGTTCAAAGATGTTCATCACAGTGTTGTTTGCGGTGAGAGGAAGTTGGAAGCCACCTGGGTGTCCATCCCTGGGGTGGGGGTGGGGGTGGATAAATAAAACCACGGATGCTCAGCTTGGAATGCTTTGCAGCAATTTGATGTGATAAGCTAGATATTCCCACAGCAACATGGGTTATCTTAAAACTCATATGATGGAGTGAAAAAAGAAAGCAACAGAATGAGATCTTTACACAACACCATTCACGTAGGGTAAATACACACACAAAGCACTGTGTATTTTATGTTCAGGGCCATATATCAACACGTAGGGTGGGTGCGCACAGTGGGGAGGGGAAGGAGTGTGGGGAATGTGTGGCTAGAAGGGGGAAATAAACCAAAGAAAACATCAGAGGGCCTTAAAGGACTAATTACAATGGGATGGCCATTTGCTACAAACTGGGTATAAATCATGGAACTCTGGACCTGAAGGCCTAATAATGTTACTTTAAAATTGGTGATAATTGTACCTACCTCACGGTCTCAACATGGAAGGCTCTGTAAAGTTTTGCCAATGAATTTTAGCAATTCTGTGTGAGTCTCTGACATTCTCTCAGGACTCATCCCTTTTAGCCTCCAAGCCTTTACTCAGGCCGTGTTGAATGTTGTCCTTATGCTGACTTCTCTACCTCTCCAACCCTGCCATCAGGTTTCTTCAAAGACCACGGACTCCCATGATGGCAGCCTGTGAAGTCTTGGGGACTTTTCATTTGGGGCTTGAACCCAGAGCCAGGGTGTCATAGAGCCGTGAGGAGCAAGTCCTATTTCCTCTTCACAAACTTCCCCAAGGGTCTTCTTACAGCCCACCCCCCACCTCAGTGCCCACCCCACTGCTCCCAGGCAAGACAGGCAGACCAAATCTGAAAGTGTTAGATGTGGAAGGGAACAGCTTTTATTGGGTGCCTATCATGTGCTGGACCCAGCACTAAGGTCTTGACTTTTGTTAGTACCCGGAACCACCCTGTGAAGTGGGAGGGGAGCACCTCATCAACAGATTAGGGAATGGAAATCACCAAGAGGTGAGAACACTAACGGGACAGGAGCCCTAGGTCTGTCTGGCTCCAAATCCAAGACCTGAACAAGCAACTTGTTCAGAGTCTTAGGGCCAGGACTGGGACCCCGATCACCTATTTCTGACTTAAGTGCCAGTAGAGAAAAACCTCTATTTCACACTGATGATCCAATTTCTGCCATCAGTGGAGGGGCGACCCTGCCATTTAGAGCCCTAAAAAGACCCTCGACGCTATTTAGTATGGTTAGTTTGAAGTAATATCTAAGGAGAAATAGGAGATTCCCTCAAGTTTCTTCCCCTTCTTTGAACCTCAGTTTCTCAAAGTGTAAAACAGGAGGAACTGCGGTCTGTGGGCTCTGGGCATTCTTTTCTCAGTCCGCCAGCAGGTGGAGCCCACCCGTCATCCCTCCCTTGGCCTCCAGAAAGCTGCGGGAGTCGCGGGAAAGACGAGTTGTCCTGGGGCCGCGCCTGGGGTTAGTGGGACCAAGCAGGGCGCTGCCCAACCGGGTCTGGCCGAAGGGCCTGCTGAACCCCAGGCGACTGCCCAGGACTTTAGGGTCCCGCCTCCTGCAGGACATTCTCGGTATTGCAGGGACTGGAGCCCCGAGGGTAGGGACGGACACCCCGGGGAGTGGAGGCCCGCGTCCGGTGCGAGGGGCGTCCCAGGGCCCGGGATCCCACAGGCGGGAGTGCAGGTGTGTCCCCACCGACCGCATGGGCTGCGGCTACAGGTAGTTGTCCTCAGATGCGTCGCCCCCGCCAGGGGAGTCCCGGGCCTCCTCGTCCGTGCTCTCGTCGTCGGGGGCCAGTGCCTCGATGTCGTGCGTGATGTCGGCCAGCAGCCGGTGGAAGGCCTGCGCCTCGGGCCGCTGGGCCGCGCCGTCGTAGCTGCGCACCGCCGACGCCGACGTGGAGCTCATGCTGCGCTTGATGCGCCCGAAGCTGTCGGTGAGGATGCCACCCTCGCGGATGCCCACCCCCTCCAGGAAGCCCTCGAAGTAGCCGATGTCCTGGTCCGGGATGAAGGGCCGCATCCCTGCGGGGCCGACAGGCAGGGGGACTCCTCGAGGTTCAGCCCTCCCCCTCCCACACTGGAACCACCTTCTGCAGAGATCTGAGTTCAAATCCCCGCCCCGCCGCTGGCTGGCTGTGTGGCCTCGCACAAGTTCCTCGACTCTGCTCCAGAGAATAATGACCTAATGCTCGGCACAGAGTAAATGCTCACTACAGGTTAGCTTGTTACTGTAACAGTTACATTCCCAGTTATTCGTTGTGTGATCCTCATTAAATAGCTACTCCGAGCCTTACTTTCCTCGCCTGTGAAACGGAGATAATTGCACAAGTTCTCCCGGGAGGGATGTGAGGAGGTGCTTAGCACACACACTGAGTGTCCCAGACAAGTCAGCTTGTTTGGCTTCCATCTCTACTCATTAGCTATGCGACTTCGGTACTTTACTTTGCTTCTCTGAGCCTCAGTTTCCTCATCTGCAATATGGGGGCAATAAGGTTCTACTTTCCAAAACTGAAGCATTCAATGGGATGATGCTTGACACAGGGTAACTGCAAAATGCCCGTTAGCTTATTAGTACTATCATTCCTGGTGCTATTATTAGCCTTCCTTACCAGCTGTGTGACCTTGGACAAGCTCCCTAGCCTCTGTGAGCCTCAGATGCCCCATGGGGTAAATGGGGAGAATCATCCCCTCACCCAGCTTTGCTATGAAGGTGAATGGTTGTATTAGTGCTCTTCTTAGGCCCCGGGACTGCAAGCAAGTCCATCCTCTGTTCTGCACCTTTCGCCTCAAAAGCACCATGGATTTCTCGATCTTGGCTTTATTGGAGGCTGAAGAGTAAGAGTGAGCACTTCTAGCCTGATGCCTGATAGGGAATGTCATGGACCATGGAGGGGCCTTGGCAGACCTTGGGGGGGGGGGCATGGTGGCAGGTGGCTCACCAAGGAGGAGGAACTTGCGCCGGTCTCCGTAGAGCTTCAGCAGGCCTGCGCAGTAGTCCTGGATGGGCAGCCCCAGCCGGTACTCCCTCAGGAGCACCGCAAACTGCTGGATCTCAGGGGGCCCCAGTTTACTCCGCAACTGTAGGGACAACATTCAAGATCAGTCCCGGGGAGCAAGCCCCACCCAACCTTTGCCTAAAAGACGCAGAGCCCTATCTGTAAGGGTATATTTGGCCAAGACCTCCCTTGACACCCTCCCATGGCCTACTGGGAGGCATCAAGACCCTCTGGGCTGCATCTAAGCATGGGCTGCGGACTCAAGCTGCCTGAGTTCACATCCTGGCCCCTTGGTCAGCTCTGTGATCTTGGGTACGTGACAACCTCCTTGACCCTTACTTTTCTTATATGTAGTGAGGATAATGGCCGTACCTCCTACTGTGGCCATTAAGAGGATTAAAATAAATGCATCAAAAGTGCATAGAACTGTGCCTGATATAGAGCAAACACTCAGTTAATGCTAGCCGACGCTAGCTAAGGCTTTCACAAGCTGGCCTCAGTTTACTCTCCGAACCTCATACCCTGCCCTGATCTTCAACATCTGCTTCAGTTATGTCCAGGATTATTCATGATTCCTGAAATACTCCCTGTGCTTTCTCCAGCCTCCGGGCCTTTGCTTGTGCTGTCCACATTGCCTGCCCCAGCTCACCGTGACCATGTAATCTTGCAACTGCTCGAGGCCCAGGCCGCTGTGGTCACTGCCGCTGCAGTGGGAGCCGTGGAAAGAGGGTGTGGACGTACCACTATAACACGCTTCAAATGTATCCTGGGAGCCATTGCTGCAGAGACAGGCAGAAAGGGGGGCCCTCACTCAGCTCCCTCCAGCTCCTCTCCCTGCAGCAGGTGGAGCTGGGAAGGCACAGCTACTGATGCTCTGGGCCCGAAGCCGCATCCTAGATCCCATTTTGGCCTCCAAGGCCCCACATTATCTGGCCTCGGCTGCCTCTGTTGCCTCATCGCACCCTTGCTCTGCATGCTCAGGCCACTCTGCCTTCTCTCTTCTCCTCTAATACTCCAAGTGCCTCTCCACCCCCGGGCCTTTGCACATGCTGTTCCCTCTAACTCTTATTCATCACTGGAGCTTAAATGTCACCTTCTCAACAAAGTTTTCCCTGACCCCCTCTCCCAATGACTGGGTTAGATCCTCTGTCAAATGTGGTCACAAACCCATAAGTCTAGCCATGACATGAGAGGCCTTTCCAGATCCCCCCATCAATGTCCATGGCGGCCTCTTGGCTTCTCCTCAAATGCACCAAGCTTCATCTTGCTTCAGAATCCTTGCACTGTCTGCCCCTCTGCCTGGGGCCCTCTTCCCTTTTCCTCCTCTGGGTCTCAGTTCAAGTGTCATCAGCTCTGAGAGGCCCTCCGGACTCCCCAGATGAGGAAGGCTCCCACGGCCTCTCTCTCAGTACCCTGAGGTGCTTATTCTCTTTCGTGCTTATCATTAATGCTTATTTCTCTTAAATCATGATTTCATTGTCTCCTGTGCTAGACACTGTGCTTGTGCCATAAACCATGCAAAAGCAGGGACGTTGGTTTCTTCCTTGTTAAGTACCTGCCCTGTGTCAAGCACAGGTCTCATCCTTGTCTTGCTCCCCACTGTAACCCTAGCACACAGCACAGTCTCTGGCGCATGATAGGTACTCAGGAAATCTTGCTTAATAAAAACTCAACCTGGGGTACCTGAGTGGCTCAGTCGGTTAAGCATCCGACTCTTGATTTCAGCTCAGGTCACGATCTCACGGTTGTGGGATGGAGCCACACATTGGGCTCCAAGCTTAGCTCGGAGTCTGCTTGGGATTCCCTCTCTCTCTCACCCTCTGCCCCTCCCCCTGCTCATGCACACACATGCTCTCTCTCAAAATGAATAAATAAAATCTTTTTTAGAATAAAAGATTCTCTTTCCCTCTGCCCCTCCCCCTGCTCTCTCAAAAAAAAAAAAAATTTTTTTTTTTTTACCTAAAATAAAGATCAACCTGCCTCCTGGTTTCTAAATTGTTCCAGAACCATCTTGCGGTATTACCTACAGAAAAGCAGTATAGCATAGTGGTTAGGGGATGTGGACCTGGAGCTAGCCTGCTCAGGTTCAAACCTCAGGCCTACAACTTACTAGCTGCTTGACCCTGAGCAAGCTGCTTAGCTTCTCTATTCCTCAGTTTCTCCATCTATAAAGTGGGATGACAAAAACGGATGTCACAAGAATTAGAGGAATCTATTCATATGGCACTTAGAGTCATGGACTACAAGCAATAAATAAACAATAGCCACTGTAATGTTGCTACGTTGATTTTTTTTAAAAAATGCAGCGCTTGGGGGCACCTGGCTGGCTCAGTCGGTAGAGCATGTGACTCTTGATCTTGAGCTCATGAGTTCAAGCCCCATGTTGGGGGTAAAGTTTACTTGAAAAAAAAATGAAGTGCTTTATCGAACAGCACTAGGCACACAGCAAGCTCAAAGGTTAGTCATTATCATGATTGCCATCTCTCCGGGGGATATCATCAGGTTGTTTAAGGACTGGCCCAAGAGCACACAGTATTAAGAAGGCGAATATAGGGTGCCTGGGTGGCTCAGTTGGTTAAGCGACTGCCTTCGGCTCAGGTCATGATCCTGGAGTCCCTGGATCGAGGCCCGCGTCGGGCTCCCTGCTCGGCAGGGAGTCTGCTTCTCCCTCTGACCCTCCCCCCTCTCATGTGCTCTCTCTCATTCTCTCTCTCTCAAATAAATAAATAAAATCTTTAAAAAAAAAAAGAAGGCGAATATATTGCCACCAAAGAGGAAAAAAAAAAGTAAGGCATATATTACTGGCAGAGATTGCTACCTGTCAAGTCTAGACCTTAGCAGAACCAGCATGACCCACTTGTTCCAATTTGCCTGGGACTTCCCTGGTGTTTGTACTGAAATTCCCATGTCCTGGGAAAACCACCCCCCCCACCCCAGTGCTGGAGGCAGGGGTTGGTCATACTAAACAGAACCCTGGACAATGTTCCCAGGTGAGTCTGTTAATGCGGCACTCCCAGACTTGCGGGCAGCTCGTGGTGGCCATGTGACCAAGTTCTGGCCAATGCAACACAAGCAGAGGCATGAGGTGGGACTCCCAGCAAAGCTCTTTACTGAGCCCCCTGGCAGGCCACCGCGATGACTGGAGTTATGACCATCATCTTGGTCCATGAGGTGACTTTGAGGATGGGAGCAAGCGCCAAGGAGTGGGGAGAAGAGAAGCCTGGACCCCTGCTGACCATAAGGCCATAAACTCCTGGTTTATTTTATATAAGAAACAAGGTGGGAAAAAGCTATCTTGTTTAAAGCTCTATCTTTTTTTAGGGTTTTCTACTATATGGAATTAAAACTAAAGTAAACCAAAATTATTTTTTGGTATTAGCTGTGGTTTGGGCTCTGCAGGCCACTGTGTCTGGATGACGAGCAGAGAACTGCAGGCCTACCTGGGCCCAGTTCTGGGTTCTGGCTCTCCCCTGGGCCTGTCAGAGTCTGGGTCTGGATCCTCTGAGCTCACTGAAGCCCACAGAGATCAGTTTACCTATGCCCTCCCCCCACCAGGGCCCAGGGCATCAGCACAAATCGAGGTGGGGTCATCTTCTCCCACCCTCTCTTGCCCACGGGGGGCTCAAGAATGCCCAGAAGAGTGACCCGGTTTGTGCAGGGGTGTAGGAGGGGGGCAGGGTGGTACCCACAAGGAGCTGCAGCAGCTGAAGTCGGCGTCATAGGCGTAAGTCCCATCCGTGCGGCAGCTCTCACCTGGGGTCAGGAAACAGAGGGGCGGTTAGAGGCAGCAGACCAGGGACCAACATCCCCAGCTCCCTGAGGCCCCAGCCTCAGCCCCTCCCTGTGGTTGGGATGGTGGCTGGAGCATGGATGGCCTTGTAGGCAACCGTAAGCGTGTTAGCTTTTACGCTGAGTGAAATTAGGCAGCCACTGGAAGATTTTGACCATGATTCCTACCCCCACCACCAACACACAGCCAACCCTGGGCAACTCACCTCCTCTCTCCTGGCCCTCAACTTCCCCAAGGTTGGGACAATACCACCTTCCTGCCTGCCTCATGGGGGTCTTGGGAATAGCAGGTGAGGAAACAGGTGAGGTAATGTTTTGAAAACTGTGTTTGAGGCAAGGAAAAAAAAAAAGAACTTTGAGGGAAAGAACCTCAAATCTTGAGAGGATAGAAGCACCATTTACAGAGAACTTGCTCTCTACCTAGCCCTGTTACCTCTCTGAATCCACTAACCTTACCCTTCTGATCTTGGCTCACTCAGTGTCACTTCCTCACCACACCCCCCTGACTTCCCAGGTGAGGCCGGTTCCTCAGTCTGTGTTCTCAGAGTACAACATGTGGCGACATTTTCCTTGTGTAACTATGTAATTACTGTGGGCCTACCTCAGCAAAGCAAGCCTTGTGAGAGCAGGGCCACGTCTGGTTCTGCTCCCCGGTACATCCTGCTGATAGCAGATGCTTCAGTAAATATTTGTTGAATAGAATGAATTTGTTGAAATACTTGTTGACTTATCTCACTAATTTACCCATCATCCTGTGAGAGTTGATGAACCATCCCAACTTCCCAATAACCGCGGTTCCCACGGATGGGAGTGCCTCCAGGAGGAAAGAGCTCTGTTGCTGGAGCTAGGCAAACAGGGAGCACATTGAGGGGGCTGTGGCTGAGGAAAGTCACTTAGTGGCCTGGAAAGTAGCATGGGAGGATCTGCAGGTAGAAGCTTTAGAAATCAGACACACCTGGGTTTGAATCCCGACTCTCCCACTTACTCGCTGAGTAAGACCCTGAGCAATTTATTGACTACTCTGAGCCTTAATGTCCTCATCGGTAAAACTGGAATCATAAGGCTTCAGAGAGTTCTTTCATCTACTCAAAAAACACTTGTCGAGCATCTGTGGTGTCCCTAGTCCTGTGCTAGGCACAGGGGATACAGTGGCAAATAGGACCGACAAGGTCGCTATGGGGATTAAATAAGACTTGGCACATTGGTACTGTGCTTAGCACATAGTTGGTGCTCAGTAAATGCCTCTATTAGCTCATTCTCATTCTAGCCCTTGATTGCATTCAAGGGTGGGTCTGGAAATCCTGGTTTTGACCTAGATTCCTAGCGGAGCTAGACAGCTCAGTGAATAGACAATGCATGTGCCTGGATTTCTGCAAAGCAAGGACATCAAAAATGAAAGCGGGGGAAAAAGTTCAGCTTTGAGGGGCTCATTCTGAATCTGGCAACGAGAATATCTGTGAAGAAGCTAAGTTTGAGGTCCTAATGAAAACTGACATTTTATTTTAACTACATAAGGGCAGCAGGGTTGGGGGAGGACACTGTAATTGTGGTAGAGATCAGGACCCCTAAAGGCGTTCATTGGCCCTGAGTCCTGGGGCAGCCCCCCCTCCCCGGCCTTTGGGATGTTTCACAGCGGGGGGCAGGGGGCAGCCAGTTCCAGTACTCACTGCGACTGCAGAGCCACGGCCGCTCGGGCGTGGACGTGTAGTGGTAGCCAGCCCGGTCCACGCACTCAATGCTCTGGTCCCCGTAGATGATCTGGAAGACCTGACAGATGAGGGCACAGGACTCCTCGGCAGCATCCTGGCCCAGGGAGGAGGACAGAGCGCTCAGGCCTCTCCAGTGCTCAGGACACCCCTGCCCCCTTAAACAGTGTGAGGAGGCTCGGAGGGCCACACACACACACCTATGGGCACCTTTAAATCAACTTGGAGGGCATTCCCCATCAAAATTGTATGGCCATCCTCTGGATCTTGAACTCTGTAATAGAGTCCAGCAGCAACTCTGTCTTCTGCTCTGAAAAATGCATCCCAGATTTCTAGGGGATTCATAGGACCTTCTAAAGTTTATCTAAAATAAGCCCTAGGGGCACCTGGGCGGCTCAGTTGGTTAAGCATCCAACTCTTGATCTCAGCTCAGGTCTCTATCTCACAGTCATGAGTTCAAGCCCGATGTTGGGCTCCATGCTGGGTGTGGAGCCTACTTAAAAAAATAAATAAATAATAAAATAAAATAAAATAAAATAAGATAAAATAAGCCCTAGTTTAAATTCCGGTAGGAAGTTGAGGCTATAAAATAAAATAAAATAAGATAAAATAAGCCCTAGTTTAAATTCCGGTAGGAAGTTGAGGCTCAGAGAGGTGAAATGATTAGCCAGGACTAGAACCCAGGACTGCTGATACCTACTAGGAGGAGGAAGAATTACATGTATGAAAATTTTAGGCTCAACATAGTTACTACTACTGGATGCCATCTTTAGATATGAGCTTTCTGGCACCCAGGGCAATAATGGAAGTAGGATGAATACATAAACTTCAGTCTCTGATAGGAGGCAGGAATTTCAATTCTTGGGTGAAAGTTTCTTGAGACTGCAAATTTGAAGAGGAATTTGCCTTTCGAATTCACCTCTTTATGTCTTTTTTTTTTTAAGATTTTATTTATTCATTTGAGACATAGAGATATATATATAGAGAGAGAGAAAAAAAGCATGAGCAGGGAGAGAGGCAGAGGGAGAGGGAGAAGCAGGCTCCTCGCTGAGCCAGGAGCCCGATGTGGGGCTCGATCCCAGGACCCTGGGGTCATGACCTGAGCCAAAGGCAGACACTTAACCATGTGAGCCACCCAGGCGCCCCTACCTCTTTATGTCTTTAAGCAAGAGACCCAGAAAGACAATCACTGATGAGACCATCTTCATGGTACCATTTCCTATTTTGTGCCTCTAAAAAGCCCAGGGTATGAATTAAAATGTAACCCAGGAGAGGCAGGATTGATCCTTACGATAACCCTACAAAACAGACAGGGGAGAGAGTATCCTTCTTTTATAGTTAAAAGCACTGAGGCTTAGAGTGGCTAGGTGACTCTTCCAGCTCACACAGCAAGTTCTTAGCATTAATTACTATTGGCACTCAGGTTTTTTGATTCTAACTCCTGTGCCCTCCTTGGGACCAAAAGTCCTTGGATAGGAGGCCAGAGAATCAGATACTCCTGAAAAACAACTCTTCATAGGATAGGACTAATTCGCATTTAGCCCTATTTTAGGCACTGGGCCAGACTCTGAGGTCTCAGGGGTGAATTAGATGAGGTCTGTACCCTCAAGCCCTCACAGTCCAGTGAGATAGACAGGGAGCACTGTTCCCTCTGCTTGGAATTCATTTTCCTACCAATTCGCCTTGCTGACTCCTTCCTCCCCTTCACATTTCAGTTTAAAAGGCACAAACTCACTTTCTCTATGGAAAATGGATCTCCTCCCTCATTATCACTGCAATCTGTTTGTTTTCTTCTTGGTCCCCATCACAAGGTATAGGAATATAATACGCATCACTTCATTCATTCAATATTTATCACGTGCCAGGCACTGTTTTAGGTGTCAGAGATACCATAGTGAACCATCCAGAATGCACAGGTCTCTTGGCACTCTACAAGGAGACCAGTCTGGCTGGAATGAAGTGCAGAAAGGGGGTCCTAGAAAGAGATGAGGCCAGAGAGGAAATGGGCTTCAGCCACCACGATAAGGTGGGAGGCCTTATAAGCAGTTGTAAGGACATTAGCTCTTACTCTGAGTGAAATGGGGAGCCACGGCGAGATTTTGAGCCGTGATATGATGAGACTTATGTGTTAACGGGACTGCTCTGACTGTGGGGGGATCAGGTTATAAGCAAGAGCCAAATCTGTGATCTAAATGCATGATCTGGATGATAGAAGATGGGGCGTGGACCTGGGTCGGGACAGTGGAGGGTGGGGAGAAGTACATAGGCTTGGGATAGATTTTAAAAATAAGGCAAACAGGATTTGTTGACGGAATGGATATGTGTTGTGTGAGAGCAAGATGAGTCACAGATCACTGCCAGGTTTTGATCTGAACGAGGGAAGGACAGAGCTGCCATTAATCAACACAGGGAGACCAAGGGAGGAGCAGGTTTGGGGGAGAAGATTGGGTGCTTAGCTTTGGATGTGTTAAGTTTGAGATGGTCATTAGCCCACCGTATGGAGAGGCCGATTGGAGAAACATGCCTGGAGATTTGCTGAGAGATAAAATTTGGAGTTCTCAGTGTTTTAAATGCCATAAGACTGTTTTGTCCGCTAGGGTACTACGGGGTGGGGGGAGGGGTTGGGGGCCCTGGGCCAGAGGAAAAGTTTAGACAACTCAGGACTTGATGGTGTCTGCTAGATTGAGCTCCCGAAGGGAGGGCACCAAATATGTCTTTGCTCATCTCTGCATCCATAGCACTTAGCCCAATGCCTAGGACAAAGCTGGTGCTCAATAAAGATGGTCAAATGAATAAAAGCAAGGGTGAATATGGAGAATGGGGGCGAGGGGAGGAAAGGCAACAATGGAAGGCTTCTGCCTTGGATGACTGCCATAGTTAACAAGAGTACAGGCTTGAACTTCCCTGGTCTCTGTTGAAACCACCACCTGGTTCCTGTGTGACCTTCCACGAGTTACTTAGCCTCTGGATCTCACTTTCCTCCTCTCTAGAATGAGGAGGCTTGTAATGTTTGCCTCTAGGGGTTAGTGAGAGAATGAAATGTGTTAATGCTGGTTCCTTGCCTGGCATGTGTTGGCATTCCATTCGTGCTGGTAATGAGTGTCCTCATGATTGCTACCGTGGTAGTGCGGACATTGACAACGCGGGAGAAAGCAGGGCTGGAGGAGGGGTTCGATCCAGTCTGTTTGGGCTGTTTTGAGTTTCCATCCCATTGGGATGGCAAGGGGGAGGTGTCCAGGCTGGGGATTAGAAGCCCTTTGGCGTCGTGGATACACAGGTAGTACCTGAAGTCCTAGGCAGGGCCTCAGGAGGGGGAAGGAAAGACCCCAGGAACGGAGCGGGGTGGGGTGGAGAGCGACGCCTTCCAACCCCGGACGCGGCCGGGAGGCAGGGCGCAGGGGCTCCGGGTGCCCTCGGGCTCACCCTGTTGGCCACAGCCAGGATGACAAGGTTGCAGTAGGCGTCGGGGCTGGGGTCCTGCGGGTCGAGCGGGTTGGAGCCCGGGTGGCGCCGCTCCCAGCT